CCAGGACTTTAAACATAAATGAATGTTGGATTTCATCAAATGCCTTTTCAGGATTGAAGGAGATTATCATGTTTTTTTTTTCAGTTTGTTTATATGGTAGATTAATTGATTTATTTCTGTATATTGAACCACCCTTGTATACCTGCATGAAACCTACTTAGTCATAGTGGATGATATATTTGATGTGTTCTTAGATTCGGTTGAGTGTTCTTTGGTTGAGTATTCTTCGGTTCTTAGATCTTGTTTAGTATTTTTTTCATCAAGGTTCATAAGGGATATTGGCCTGAAATTCTCATTCTTTGTTGAATCTTGTGTAGTTTTGGTGTCAAGGTGATTGTGGCTTCATAGAATGAGTTTGGTAATCTTTCTTCTGTTTCTATTTTGTGGAATAGTTTAAAAAGTATTTGTGGCAGGCTCCTGACTTGTTCCCTCTTTTCTCCTTCTTCTGATGTCCATCCTCTTTGCCTTTCTGGATAGGAATTGAGCATTTTAGCAAGAGTCCTCCCCCTTGATTAGTTTCTTTAGGTGTACAGATTTTAGTTGGTTTATCCTATATTATATGTCTATATGAGTGAGTATATACCATGTGCCACAGAGGATCTCTGAAAGGCTCTGCCCTGCAGAGAATCAAATTAGATGCTGAGAGTTATGGGCAAACTTTCGGCAGAGTGCAGGGAATCTTATGAAAGAAGTGGGAAACAGTAAGATCTGGAGAGGACAGGAACTCCACAAGGAGAGCAACAGAACCAAAAAATCTGAACAGAGGGGTCTTTCCTGAGATTGATATTCCAACCAAGGACTATGCATGGAGATAACCTAAGACCCCTGCACAGATGTAGCCCATGGCAGTTCAGTATCCAAGTGGGTTTCATCATAATAGGAACAGGGACTGTCTCTGACATGAACTGATTGGCCTGCTCTTTAATTACCTCCCCCTGAGGGGGAAGCAGAATTACCATGCCACAGAAGAAGACAATGCAGCCACACCTGATGAGACCTAATTGACTAGGATCAGAAGGAAGGAAAAGAAGTCCTCCCCTATCAGTGGACTTGGGGAAGGGCATGTATGCAGAGGGTGGAGGAAGGAAGGGATTGGGATGGGAAGAGGGAGAGAACCACAGGGGGGATACAAAGTGAATAAAGTATAATTAATAAAGAATTTTTAAAAAAGGTATTTGTGTTAGCTCTTCTTTGAAGGTCTGGTAGAATTCTGGATTGAAATTATCTGGCCCTGGGCTTTTTTTGGATGGGAGACTTTTGATCACAGGTTCTTTTTCCTTAGGGTATATAGGAGTATTTAATTTATTTACTTGGTCTTCATTCAGCTTTGGTAAGTAGAATCAATCAAGAAAATTGTCCATTTTATTTAAATATTCAAATTTTGTGACTTTTGAAGTAAGACCCAATGATTGTTTGGAATTCCTCAGTGTCTGTTGTTATGTCCCCTTTTATTTATTTTCTATTTTTTTAGTATTAGTTACAGTTTATTAACTTCATATCCCAGCTGTATCCTTCTCCCTCATTTCCTCCCAATCCCACCCTCCCTCCCTTATCTCCTCCTTGCCCTTTTCCAAGTCCACTGATAGGGGAGGACCTCCTCCCCTTTCATCTGATCCTGGTTTATCAGGTATCTTCAGGACTGGCTGCAAAGTCCTCCTCTATTGCCTAGCAGGGCGTCTCCTCCCCCCCAGGGAGGGAGGTCAAAGAGCCAGCCATTGAGTTCATGTCAGAAATAAACTAGATACTCTAAATTGGTTAGAAGAAAAAGTGGGGAAGAGCCTAGAACTCATTGGCATAGGAGACAACTCACCAATAGCACAGGCTCTAAGAGCAACAATCAATAAATGGGACCTTTTGAAACTGAAAAGCTTCTGTAAAGCAAAAGACACTGTCGTCAGAATAAAACGACAGGCTACAGACTGGGAAAAGATCTTCATCAACCCTATATCTGACAGAGGGCTAATATCTAGAATATATAAAGAACTAAAGAAGTTAGAAAGCAATAATTCAAGCAATCCAATTAAACAATGCCCCCGTTTTTATTTCTGATTGTCTTAATTTGGATAGTATCTCTCTGCCAATTAAAAAATAGGGTAAAGAGCTAAACAGAGAATTCTCAACAGAGGAATATCGAATGGCCGAAAAACACTTCAAGAAATACCAACCTTTGGGAAGAATGCAGGGAATCTGAGGAAAGAAGTGGGAAACAGTAAGATCTTGAGAGGACAGGAACTCTACAAGGAGAGAAAAAGAACCAAAAAATCTGAGCACAAGAGTCTTTCCTGAGACTGATACTCCAACCAAGGACCATACATGAAGATAACCTAAGACCTCTGCACAGATGTAGCCCATGGAAATTCAGTATCCAAGTGGGTTACATCATAATAGGAACAGGGACTGTCTCTGACATGAACTGATTGGCCTGCTCTTTAATTACCTCCCCCTGAGGGGTAAGCAGCCTTACCAGGCCACAGAAGAAGACAATGCAGCCACACCTGATAAGACCTAATTGACTAGGATCAGAAGGAAGGAAAAGAAGTCCTTCCCTATCAGTGGACTTGGGGAGGGGCATGCATGCAGAGGGTGGAGGAAGGGAGGGATTGGGATGGGAGGAGGGAGAGAACCACAGGGGGGATACAAAGTGAATAAAGTATAATTAATAAAGAATTTTAAAAAAGGAAAGAAATGCTCCACATCCTTAGTCATCAGGGAAATGCAAATCTAAACGACTCAGAGATTTCACCTTACACCCATCAGAATGGCTAAGATCAAAAACTCAAGTGACAATACATGTTGGAGAGGATGTGGAGAAAGGGGAGCCCTCCTCCATTGTTGGTGAGAATGTAAACTTGTACAACCACTTTGGAAATCAGTCTGGCGCTTTCTCAGACAATTAGAAATAGCACTTCCTCAAGATCCAGCTATACCACTCCTAGGCATATATCCAAAAGATGCTCAAGTACACAATAAGGACATTTGCTCAACCATGTTTGTAACAGCTTTATTTGTAATAGCCAGCAGCTGGAAACAGCCCAGATGCCCCTCAGTGAAGGAATGGATACAGAAATTGTGGTACATCTATACAATGGAATATTACTCAGCGATAAAGAACAAGGAAATCATGAAATTTGTAGGTAAATGGTGGGACCTGGAAAGGATCATCCTGAGTGAGCTGTTCCAGAAGCAGAAAGACACACATGGTATATACTCACTCATATAGACATACAACATAGGATAAACCCACTAAAATCTGTACATCTAAAGAAACTAAGCAAGAGAGGGGACCTTGACTAAAACGCTCAATCCCCATCCTGAAAGGCAAAGAGATTGGACATCAGAAGAAGAAGAAAACAGGAAACAACCTAGGAACCTGCCACAGAGAGCCTCTGAAAGCCTCTGCCCTGCAGACTATCAAAGCAGATGCTGAGACTTATGGCCAACTGATGGGCAAAGTGCATGGAATATTATGTAAGAAGTGGGAAATAATAAGAGCTGGAGAGGACGGGAACCACACAAGGAGAGCAACAGAACCAGAAAAGTTGAACACAGGGAACTTCCCAGAGACTCATACTCCAACCAAGGACTATTCATGGAGATAACCTAGAACCCCTGCACAAATGTAGCACATGATAGTTCAGTGTCCAAGTGGGGTACATAGTAATGGGAAGAGGGACTGCCTCTGACATAATCTGATTGGCCTGCTCTTTGATCACCTCCCCTCAGGGAGCAGCCTTACCAGGCCACAGAAAATGACAATGCAGCCACTCCTGACGTGATCTGATAAACTAAGATCAGAAGGAAGGAGAAGAGGACCTCCCCTATCAGTGGACTTGGGGAGGGGCATGCATGAGAAAGGGGGAGGGTGGGTGTGATCAGGAGGGGAGGAGAGAGGGGCTCATGGGGGAATACAAAATGAGTAAAGTGTAATTAATAGTAAAAAAATAAATTTGATAGTTCTTATGTATCTGGAAATATATCCTCTCACTTAGATTTTGCAATTCATTGAACCATACGTATGCTCTAATTCTGTTGGCGTCTGTTGTAATGTCTGGTTTTTGTGGTTTTTTTTTGTCTCTGTCTTCATCAATTTGCATATTCTGTCTCTCTCTTTTGGTTGTTTAGCTAAAGGTTTGCTAATCTTGTTTATGTTTTCAATAACCAATCTGATTTATATATTTCATTACTTTCTGAGTTCAATCTTTTTCTATCCTTTTATTTGCAGTTGGGTTTGTCCTTGTTTTTCCACGGTCTTATTTTATATCATGGAAAGAGAAAGGCCTGAGAACATTCGTCTATTGCCTCACAGGTCCCCAGGAGCATTTAATATAAAGAGAGGGGAGATTATAAGCTCCTACACCTACCATAGACAGAAGTATAAGCGAATCGTTGTGTGTAGCATTTCTGGGGATTTGAGGTATGACAATCATCAACCCCATTGGGTCATTCATGCATAAGTGGGATTGGCCTTAGTCAAGGCACCATCACTTGCTTCATTGACTACTTTTCAAGGCTGTTTCATAAGTTACATGGAAACACCTCAGTGTACCTCTCCGACCTTCTGCACCTCCCAAGAACCATAAACATTTGGAAACTGGGATACCAGCCATCTCTGCTCTATCGATTCCAAGAACTAGGTGTTTCCAAAGTAGGTAGTTTTTCCTGTGGTATGCATATGTAAGTGTGGTGTTGTACTGCTCAGTGCTCCAGTCTCCTTTCTCACATGCCTTGAGACAGCAACAACTCAGAAGGAGCTAGTGGCTAGTGGTACTTTTTATTGAGCAAAGGATGAACAGTGGATTCCACAGTGGTGCATTTGAAAAGAAAGCAGAAAAAAGGAACAAGGGGATAGCCACTAAGGGGTTCATGGCCTGTCTACAGCACCCTTCCCTACTGGTCTCTGAAGAGACATCTTCTGGGGCTGAGATCCCTATCTGGGAAAAGAGGAACTTAAGGAGAGGATTGAGTAAGGGAAAATCAGCAGTGTAGCCTCACATAGATCCTCAGGCACTGTGACAGTGGAAGCTTGTCATGGATATCTTGTTCTCCCAAGGTACAGTGTAGATCTGGAAATCGCAGGTTACTTTCTGAAAGGGGGAAAAAGAGGGAGTCAGTGTAGGTTACAGCTCAAATGAAAGGTACTCAGCCTGAGATGCTATAGCAGAGTGGGAGTGGTATGAATGAGGTCACTAATTTCTGCCTATAAACTCTGCTAAGGTCTAAGGTGCTCAGACTGACTCTTCAGGGTCCATTTATTCTTTTGCAAATTACAAACAGTCCTTCAGATGGAACATGTTCTTTACTCTACTGGATCATGGGATTCTGCATTCTCCTTCCCTAGCATAACTCAAAGGAGCGGCTCAGAAAGAAGATACAAAATCACCAGACATCAGTGCAAGAAATAAGGCCAGTGTCTCTGAGTTCCTCCACCTCTAGCACATGGGCCAGAACTGAGGGGGCCACAGGCAGAAGAATCAGGGCTCTGAAAAACACTTTTGAAGGTGGAAGTATGTTGGGAGGATGACAAGAGGAGTTCACCTGTCCCTACAACCCTACTATTTTAAGAACCAGCCTCATCTCTGGAGAGGCTAGAAGCGTAAGGAGCATCACTGAAGCATTTTACCTGGAGGGCCATAGTTCCTTCAGCATAGGGGCAGGAGTTGAGCAAAGTTTCCTCACTCCAAGAACTACCCCTTCATATCTATCATTCCAGCAGGCAGCATTACCAAAAGAGCTACTACTTCAATTTCCAGGGTAAGCTCACTTAGAAATTGGAATTTACAATATGGCCAAAGTACATCATATTCTCTGTATGAACCTGAATGTATGTCAAACCTGAATGTCTCTGGGTCAGCGGTCCTAGAGGTCCTAGAGGTCCCCTGACCCAGAGACATATGTCAGGGTGGTGACATATGCATGTACAGGTATATGGACACTCACACACATCTTTCCTCATATACTTACTGAATGTAAACCCTCCCATATGTGCATACATAAACCCTCCCATATGTGCATACATAAACCAGCATGTTTGCACACACCCCTGCCTGTATGGTAAGCCCTAATTGCACAAGTTTTAGTCCATGTGAATACCTTCTGCTGATCTGGCCGTTCACTGAAGGGACAGCCAGCCAAATCAGACTGGGCTTTGGTGCACGTGGTTCGGCCTAGCTCTATTTTCAAGAAGTAGTTCATCCCAGCCACGACCTATAGTGAGAAGAACAGGATTATATACACCTCTCCAGCCAGGTTCATATGCATGCAGATGGTTTACATTATAGAGATAATGTGTTCATAGCTGCATCCAGGAGCTGCCAGAACTGTTACCTGGAGATCACTCTAGCTACCTTTCAATAAGATATCCAAAAGCTTGTATTACAACTCATTTCATTCCGAATGATTCTCTGCAAGGGTGCCTTATGTTTCTGAGGAAGAACAGAAGCAGGATACAGAAGGCAGAAGCCAGGGGCTGACAATTGCTTGAGTGGCCTCAAGAAGGGAAGATAGCGTTCTAGAGAGATAGCCAGGTATCATAACCACATCCCAGGGTTGTTCTGAGCGTAAGAGGAAGCTCTAGGTTGCACACAAGGCTATCTCAACACTGCTGACTTTGACTCCAGTGGAAGTGACAGTGGTATACTCTAGGAAGACCTCAGGCTGACAACTTCCCTTCAGCTCTATCCGCACCACATGACACAACACACAGAAAGCCTACGCCCTCCATGTACTAGTAGTCATCAAGATTCTTTTGTTTACTGGGCAGGGTGGGATGTGGAATGTTTTCCACATGATGATGTTTTAGGGAAAAAAAAAAAAAAAAGACGGTCCTAATAGCTCATCTTTAAATGTGACTCTCAATGACAATGTTTTTCATGTGTATAAAACACTTTCACACCTTCTATTTGTTTGTAATTAGAAATGAGTTTAACCATTTCCGTGCACCAGGCATCCCAGATGAAAGTTGTCAGGAATGTAGAAAATTACAAGGTGAAGTACCCGGAAACTGGGTTCAAATTTTTGAAGAACCCGGGCCAAGATTCTTGAGGCTTCTGTTCCTGGATTTCCCACCTGTAAAACTAGACCCACAAACTCTATGGCATATAACTCCCACATTTTCCTCCAAATTGGCATCACACAATAACATGGCCCAACAAGAATCATGACATCTGGGAAGGACATAATATGTCCAAGTTTGTGATATCACTGCAGCAGGAAAAATGGAGCTTATCTTTAGTCATTATAGAATTTTCAAAAAGGACAGAAATGAGATTCAAATATATGTGTGTTGACCATGTTGTCACTGTGTTTTTATGAAATTAAACATAGTCTATCCGATAGAATCCTACCCTTCCTTTCAAGCTGAAAAGAAGGTTTAGATGCTGGTTCTGCCCTCTTCTCATCTTGGTAACTGCCCTATTTGATGAGGGCTGATTCCATGATGCAGAAGCACAATCCAGGGAAATCCCCTCTATGTAGAAGGGAGTCAAAATCTAGGATATTGGCCACGATACTTCCATCTCAGAATAATGGCACAATCCTCAAGGCTCCTCCTCAGGATACTCAAGGCCACCATAGAAAGGGAAGTAAGTCTTATTATGACAGTTTGAAGGAACTTATTCAGTGGACTTAGGAAGGCACCTGCCTGGCCACTAGATAAGGAAACATTAGAACAACAAACCTGAGCACTAGTTGTCAGAGTCATGTGTTCCTTACAGATAAGGAGTCCTGAGAAATGTTTTCTCATAGGATTGCACTATGGAACATTATAAAGCACTTGTACAAGCTAAAATGGCTACAATGCCCCTTGCTTATAACATTGTACACAGAGCACAGGGTTAAACAAGGTCTCATTGAACATGACTCTTTGCCATAAATGGATAGATCCTTTCATAATGCCAAGATCAGGAAAGCTGAGTGGAGACTTGTAGGGGAAAGGCTACTGAGGGAACTGAACAAGGATGACAGAACAAGCAGAAGATGTCCATCATCATACATCAGCAAATTGAATACAACTGCAAGAGGGGTAACTGTGTGTCTTTCGATTCCCTGTTTTCTAAACGGAATCTTACACATGTATAGAATGACCTTGCTTGAAAGAACCATTCACTGAAGGAAGTATTTATTTTTAATGCATTCAAAAACTAAATGCACATAATCTCACACTCCAATTGACATACCATTGAGAGACTGTAAAGAGTGAACTACGAGAAGATGGCGGCGCCGAGAGGACTCTCATTCCGAGGAGCAGCACAGCAGGATTGGCACACTGACCAACAATCACAACTCGCAGCCATAAAACACAAGTGATTGTGTTTCCCAGGTGAGAGGATATCCAAAGGTGGGGGATTCAGTCAGCTTTAACTCACCCGGCTAAACTTCGGAAGAGATCCTGGTACCACCAGGCACTTGGTCGCCAGCCCAGAGCTACACCCCAGCGTGATCTGGTCACTGTCCCAGACTGAACTGTGGGCCGACAACACCATAGACTGGATTTCCCAGTCGAGAGATAACCCCACGGAGCAGGAAACAATTGGGACCGACCTTAGCTCACCCAGACATCCCCTGGAAAAGACTCGGGTTCCGCAGGTGCCCCAAGAGCCAGCCCGGACCCAGAGCCGGGACCCAGGCGCCTGCACGGAGCCCTGCCTGCGTGCCTGATTCGCCGCCTCAGATAGAACTGTGGGCACCAGGGCACCAGGCACCAGAGACTGCATTTCACTGGCAGGTGCAAACCTACAGGGAGGGAAATGGCTGGTCTGATCTCAGAGGACCCAGCCGACACCCCCACCCCGAAAAGGACTAGGGAAAACTACCCAGTTTAGGCAGCAGCGAAGGCTCCGAACGGCCAGAAAGGCGGAGCCACAGTGGGCATATGTGCCTGTGGGTTCTACTCGCCACCCCAGACAGAACAGCGGTCCCCAAAGCAAAGGGGCAGGAGGAAACCCCCAGCGGAGGGGATCATCAGCTCTAAAGCTTAGGACACCCAGCACCAAAACACTTCCTGGATTCACGCAGACTCTAGGCTCTAATGCAGGCAGGAGCACTGTGCTCAGCCGCCATTATTGAGTTCCCCTAGGGCACTGGGACACACAGCTGCATCCTCAGACCTACAAAAGCCAGAGAGCCATTATAGCAGCCCTCAGATACTGTGCCAAGGCTCAATCAGTTATCCCTAGCTAGACTGTCAAAACTGTGGGAATCCCTGGTCCTTCAAGAGGGCTGCACCCACAGCATCTGTACCAGAGCAGTGCCTGCAGCCGCCATCCCAGACAGGGACACACAGCTTCTGGTCCAGAGTGAAGCACCCAGCCTCCAGACCAGAGCAGCGCCCCCAGACGCCAACTCAACCTAGGTGCACATTCTCCAGGTCCAGAGCAGAGCATTCAGCCTCTGGCCTAGAGACTTGCTGAGTGCACCTCTCACTTTTCCGGACAGAACTGTGTGCCCCAGGATAACAGACTGAGTTTCCCTGTTGGGAGAAAACCCCACAGCTAGGGAATCAGCAGGTTCTTCAAGAGGACTGTACCTGGAAATTTAGTGAGCAGCAGCACACTAAATTTATAACAAGAAACCCAGCAGTCGGGCAGCTGTCTTGAGAGCTTCTATGGGTAACAGGAGATCCCCCCCTGCCTAACATAGACCACAGCTACTACTCAGGGCTATAAACCTGAGGTGAGCAGTGGCAACTCCTGAGAAACACTGGCCATACAGTGACCATAACCAAAAAGCAGAGAAGGACTCCTTCAGGAAAAATCATCTTCCGACCAAGGGGATACTCCCTACCTCAGGACTCCAGGAAGCACAGAAACTAACAGCCAACACCTAAATCAGCCCAATGGGTACAGGCCAGAGTAAAAGCTCAACCAACAAAAGACAGAGCAGTATGGCATCTCCAGAACCCAGCCATCCAGGGGCGAACAGCCCTGGACAACGCAGCATAATAGAAAATCAAGAAGATGACCTTACATCTATGCTGATGAAGAGGATAATAGAGGAAACAAATAAAATACGTAAAGAATTAGAGGAAGATAAAACCAAACAGATCATGGCTATCCGTAAAGAAATGGAGGAAGATAAAGACAAGCAGATTAGGGCCATCCGTGAAGAAATACGGGAAGATGCAGCCAAACAGCTTGTGGCCTTCAGAGAAGAAATAATTAAATCACTGAAAGAAATAAAAGACACAGAGTTGAAGGAACTAAAAGAAAAAGAGGAAAATACAAGCAGACAGGTGAAGGAAGTAAACAAAACAACTCAAGACCTGAAGATAGAACTAGAAAAATTAAAGAAAACACAAATGGAGGAAATAATGGAGAGGAAGAATTTAGGGAAGAAAACAGGAACTACAGAGGTAAGCATAACTAACAGAATACAAGAAATGGAAGAAAGAATCTCAGGTGTAGAAGATACAATGGAAGAAATCGATGTATCTGTCAAAGAAAATGTTAAATCCAAAAAATTCCTGACACAGACCATCCAAGAAATCCACGACAATATGAAAAGACAAAACCTAAGAATAACAGGAATAGAGGAAAAAGAAGACTCCCTTCTCTGAGGCCCAGAAAATATTTTCAACAAAATCATTGAAGAAAACTTCCCCAAGTTAAAGGAGAAGCCAATAAGGATACATGAGGCCTACAGAACACCCAACAAATTGGACCAGAAAAGAAAATCCTCCCGCCACATAATCATCAAAACAGTAAGTATACAGAACAAAGAAAAAATACTAAAAGCTGCAAGGGAAAAAGGCCAAGTAACATATAATGGCAAACCCATTAGAATCACACCTGACTTTTCAACAGAGACTATGAAAGCCAGAAGGACCTGGACAGTTATCATGCAGACCCTAAGAGAACACAGATGTCAGCCCAGGCTACAGTAAAACAAAGAGCAACCAAGTACACAACCTTATGAACACAGCCAACATCAAAATCAAAGGATCTAACAACCACTGGTCATTAATCTCTCTCAACATCAATGGACTCAACTCTCCAGTAAAAAGACACAGATTAACAGAATGGATACGTAAACAAAACCCAGCAATCTGTTGCATACAAGAAACACACCTAAGGCACAAAGATAGACATTACCTGAGGGTAAAAGGTTGGAAGACAACGTTCCAAGCAAATGAACCCAAGAAACAAGCAGGAGTAGCCATTCTAATATCTGATAAAATAGACTTTCAACCAAAATTAATAAAAAGAGAT